AAAAAAAAAAATTAATCACTTATAGTATTAGAAATACAATGTATCGAAATATTTGTATGTAAATCATATCATAAAAAAAAAATAGAAAGTACTCACATTACAAGTAGAAAAAGTATACTGATTTCCAGTGAAGACGTAACGAACATATTTGCTTCGAAACTATGATATAAATACTGATTATAATTAAAATTATCATATATATATATAATTTTTATATGTTATCAATGTTGATAATATAATACATGAAATATTTTTGTCCTCGAATTTTTATCAATATATTGTCTAAAATTTTAAAAGTAATTAAAAGCTTACTAATTATCGCTATTACGATATTATCAAAATCACTTGTTATCAATTTATTGATTACAAGTTTAAAACTTTTTATAATATATAACTACACTACACTATACTAGTATACAATATAGTATTCTAAATGTACAAATATTTTCAAACAGACAAAGTTGAATAAAACAAACAAACATAAGGATGACATACAAGGATGATTTTCCTTATTGAAAAAAATAAAAAAAAAAAAAATAGACTAAAATTTTTTAAAATCTTATTTCAGAATTATTTTTTCTTGTATATATGTTTTATTACTGATATTAGAGCTAATCTTACTTCTTCAATTTTCCAAGGATAACGAAATAAAACTTTCTCAATATCTATACCAACACATCAACAAGGATCACAAACCTGAAACTATTCGTCTATTCCATATCGTAATCTTCATTATTGCTATACCCTCTGTTGAATAAATTAAAGGTGGAACAATCATGATAAGGACAAATGAAAAGTAGCGATAGATACAAATAAGACGAATACATTTAAGAAGCCTTCCTCCGAGGCTCGTCGTTTCCGTGTTCAAAATACCTCGGTAAAATCTTTCCAGCGGGAAATACGTATCCTGACAGGTAATCTCCGCGAAACATTCGGCTCTAAGGTTATATAAGCCGGATAGAAAAATACGCAGAGAGGTACGAAAACTTTGTTGCACCTACCGCCCCTTTTCTCCATTTTGTTTCTTCGATAACCCGATACGAAATACGCTAGACGTAGCATGGCATACTGGTAAGACGCAGTTTTACGACAGTTTGCGAAGAAAGTGGATCAAAAAGTATTCGCCCTTACAGGATAGGGAACATTATACGACTGAGAGTCGAGATCGAGTCAGATATAATGCTATCATGCGAGTGTAATTTTTAGCGAATGTTGCATGTTACATATTAAACTGTATATCTTATATATTCAACTAACGTTTTGCAAATCTTTAATTTAAACAAAGATATTGAGATAAAGATAAGGAGCAACTTTACATGCCACACTTGTACGCCATAGACAATCCTGGAAGCGAGCACAAAAATCCTAACCCTGCAACGCGAGGACCCATCCTCTTTGAAACCGTCCTCCAACGCGATCATTGGTCCCTCCAATCCCCTCTGAGTGTGTATTTTCAAAAAACAAGGATTGAAGAAAAAACTAAAGCTCGCGATAATTTTGGAGTTGAATTAGAATAGAAATAGAAGACTAAATAGATAGAATTGAGCGACAATTTATATCAAAAAACAGTTAGAATTATTATAATTAGCTACAAAGAGTTAAATTAATAAATTTATCATTATTCGTTCACTCAGAGCTCATAATATAAATTTTAATTGACAATTTATTAAAATAATGAATAAGTCCTCTACAAGTATGAGAAGAAAACGATCAATTGAAGAAGAGCATTGCACTTTTCAAGAAAATTGGGAATTATAATACTTTTTTATTTATTGTTTCGAAATTGAACGCAGATATTGTGAAAATTTTTCTCTTTTCTCACAAGAAATATGCTAACAAATTAATTAGTCAGTTATTAGTTGCAAATATAATCAAACAGTTACAATATAGAAGATGATAAAATACATAAAACGATAAATAAACTGTTGTTGAGACTGCATTCTAAAAATAAAATATTGTGGTTGAATGATTAAAAGTAAAATGAATATTTCAATATCACGTTATAACCGCAAACACGTTCACTGAATATTACGACGATGAATATTTGAAATAACTTTTAAAGTGTAACACAGCTTCCGCGTTACTTTCAGTAGAATTCGTAAGACGCAACATTTTTAGGAAGAAAAATTATTAATGCTCTGGTAAGTTTGTCTAAAGTTAGTAAAACGTGAAGTTTTCGAAGTTACGTGAGTTTTTAAAAGGAAATTTCACCGTTAAAACGATT